TCTCAGACTTCCCTTTGCCCAATGGTCTGTGAGTCCTCAAAATTCCTGGAGGAAAGCACCCAGCTGTTGAGTCTGTGCCTGAAGGAGCACACTGGAAGAGGTCTTTTTTCCTTTTGCCTTATATATAATCTTTATCTGCAAAATGTCATCATGGCTTAAAATATGGGGCTGTGGTTTGACAGGCATCAACCAAAATGCATTTTACAAACATGAACTCAGTTCACCACCCCATAATCTCTAAGGCAGAATCTAAAATTATCCCCATTTCACAGCCAAGCAAACGGAGGCTGGAGAGTTAAGTGATTTGCCTGAGGTTATTCATTCAGCTGCTAAATAGGGACAAAAACCCAAAAAGAGGGATTCCACGGTTCCTGGTGCCGAACTGCAAAGTCACAGCTTTCCTACTTTAAACCACTCATAGATGCTTCTGCAAATTCTTGCAGATAGTCAATGCATTTAAAATAGACGCTGGTAGGGGCCGGCCCATGGCTCACTCGGGAGAGTGCGGTGCTGGTAACACCAAGGCCACAGGTTTGGATCCCTATATAGGGATGGCCGGTTAGCTCACTTGGGAGAGCGTGGTGCTGACAACACCAAGTCGAAGGTAAAGATCCCCTTACCGGTCATCTTTAAAAAAAAAAAAAAAGCTAAAGATAACTTTTGTCCACATTTTGCTGTGTACTCTTGAATTTTTCATTTTTTTTTCCTTTTTTTGTCTTTTTTTGTGACTGGCAACGGATCGCAACCCTCAGTGCCGCGCCCGTACCGGACTGGGACCGGCAATGGGATCGCAACCCTCCGTGTTGCCCCCGCACCTCGCTCAGCCAGTGAGTGGCCAGTCTGTATCTGGGATCCGAACCCTCAGCAGGAGCGCCGGCACGCTCTCAAGCGGCGCACTGTAGCAGTGCGCCACCGGGCCGGCCCTTGAATTTTTCATTTTAATTCTTTTTAGGCAGCTGGCTGGTACAGGGATCTAAACCCTTGACATTGGTGTTACCAACACCACACTCTAACCAAGTGAGCTAACCAGGACCCCCCATTTAAATTTTTTTTTTAAAAGATGACTGGTAAGGGGATCTTACCCCTTGACTTGGTGTTGTCAGCACCACGTTCTCCCAAGTGAGATAACCGGCCATCCCTATATAGGGATCCGAACCCGTGGCCTTGGTGTTGTCAGCACCACACTCTCCCAAGTGAGCCACGGGCCGGCCCTAAAAAAAAAAAAAAGAATCTTGATCACCTGATTTATTATTGAAACCTTCCCTCCATCCAATTCCTCCCTTACTCTACATACCGTACATACGGTATATTTTCCCCAAGGGCACTAATTGCTTTGTAAACCATAAGATAACTCACAATTTACTTGTTTATTTATTGACTGTCTCCTACCAGCAGAGAAGAGATTTTTATCTATTTTGCTCACGGTTTCATTCCCAGCACATTTTCTGTGGTCAATAAATAACGGTCGGGGCCGAGCCCGTGGCGCACTTGGGAGAGTGCGGCGCTGGGTGCACAGCAGCGCTCCCGCCGCAGGTTCGGATCCTATATAGGGATGACTGGTGCGCTCACAGCGCTCACTGGTAGCACATTTTCTGTGGTCAATAAATAACGGTCGGGGCCAAGCCCGTGGCGCACTTGGGAGAGTGCGGCGCTGGGTGCACAGCAGCGCTCCCGCCGCGGGTTCTGATCCTATATAGGGATGACTGGTGCGCTCACAGCGCTCACTGGCTGAGTGCGGTGAGGCCGGTCTCAAAAAGGACAAAAAAAATAAAAATAAAAATAATGGGGCCGGCCCTGTGGTGCACTGCTACAGTGCGCTGCTTGGGAGCGCGGTGGCGCTCCAGCCGAGGGTTCGGATCCCACATACAGACCAGCCGCTCACTGGCTGAGCGAGGTGCGGGCGCAGCGCCGAGGGTTGCCGGTCCCGGTCTGGTACGGGCGCGCGACACTGAGGGTTGCGATCCGTTGCCGGTCACGAAAAAAGACAAAAAGGAAAAAGAAAAAAAATAATAATAATAAATAAATAAATAAATAAATAAATAATGGCCGGATGAACCATGGAGACAGTCCGCGTCAGCGCACGGGTGTCTCTTATCCTGTTTGGTGTCTTTCGGCATTCTGTTCTGTGGATGTAGTTTGTTGAATTATTGAAGGAATGAATTACTGAACGGACAGGTGCCCGGCTGCAAAGTTTGGACTTAGCTCGAGAGGGGCCACTCAGAAGGTGGGGGGGACCAGGTTAAATTTGTGCTTTGGAACAGTCCAGACTTTTCAACTCTGGGGCTGTATTCGTCCCTTTTTCAAAAGTTGCTCAGAACAGAATACCTGAAACTAGATATTATATAAAAGAAATGAAATTTATTTCTTATATTTTGGAAGCCAGGAAATCCAAAGCCCAGGGGAGGCACCTCTGGTGAGGGCCTTCTTGGTGGGGACTGTCTACCGAGTTTTGTAGCAATGCAGGGTATCACACGGCAAGGGCTAGGCAAGAGTGCATTAAGGTGCTCACTTGCTCTCCTTATAAAGCCACCCGTCCACACTCATGATAACCCACTAAATCATTAGCCCATTTCTCCACGAATGGATTAACCTGTTCATGATGGTGTAATCCTCACGATCCAATCATCTCCCAAAGGCCCACCTTTCAAATACCACAGTCTGATTAACCACCCTCTTAACACTGTTACAGTGGGGATCAAGCTTCAGTGAGTTTTGGGGGGACATCGAATCCACAGCAGAGGCTACGCATGTGCTTTTCCTTTTGTCTGAAATACTCTTTTCCTGGGCTTGGTCCAACTTCTTCATATCCCAACTTCTGTGTCACCTCCTCAAGGAAGCCCTCTCTGACCCCCAGACCAAGTCAAGCATCCCTTCTGGGCTTCCTCATCTGCCCTGCCCACTCTGTGCTGTCATTGTCTGGGTATGGGTCTGTCCCATTGTCTGGAAGACCACTGGACATTGAGTCCCAGAAGGACAGGGCTGGGTCCCTAGCACCGCCCATCATAGAGCCTAACACTGTGCTCAGAATAAATGACTATCCCTTGAAGGAAATGTCTCTGCTTGGGTAGGAGTTCAGTTTGGAGGTAGCCATGGCATCTAATAGGGGATGAGAGTGCTAACAGGGGTCAGGGACACTTGAGTTCAAATCCCCTGCCCAGGCAGTAGGTTTGGGCCACAACAAACCTCATTACTCTTATCTGCTTCCAGATCAGGAAAATAGGAGAGTGAGGTAGTGTCATGCAGTAGCTGAGATAAGATAATGTCTGACCACACTTCAAACAGATCAGGAAGTCTCCCCTCCAGCTGCCCTGGGGCTTTGCACCTGCCCTTCTTCTCACTGTGAAGTTCTTCACAAGTTATCCCGGTGGGCTCATCCTTATCATTCAGATCTCAGTGCAAATGTCACCTCTTTTGAGTGGTCTGTCCTGACCTCCCCTGTCACTTTCACTCTGGGCTCATACAATGTTTTGCTTTCTCCCAACACTTATCTTCATCTGACAATCCAAGTTTCTCTCCTTATATCCTCTTACTAGAAAGCAGATAATCTTCTCTGTTTTTTTCCTACCACTGCTGAATCCCCAGCACCTTCAGCAGCGCATGTCCCTTAGTAAGTGCTCAAGGAATTTGTAGAACGAATGCTTAGGATCTGTCCCCTCATGTTTTGTGTTTTTGTTGGCAGCTGGCTGGTACAGGGATGGAACCCTGGACCTTGGTGTTATCAGCACCACACTCTAACCAGCTGAGCTAACTGGCCAGTTTTGTAATTTTGTCTTGTGGCAGTACCTAGGGTGACGTGAACTACATTCCTAATATAATAATTGCTCACTTAATTGAAAAGTGTTGGCTCTGTGCTAGGAACATTTATCTTAAAAATTATGAACATTATTAAAGAACTCCATCTCATTTAAATCTTACAGCAATCAAATGAAGGATGAGTTTAAACAATTTTTTAAAATTATTTTTTATTTTTAAATTTATTATTTTTTTTTGGTGGATGAGCTTTTATTCTGCATTTTACAGTTGAGGAATTGAAATTGTGAGAGGCGACAAAAGACAGGACTCAGGGCTGAGGAGGATTTCCAAGCTGAGTTGATTTGCAAATGAGCCACCGGAGGATCACTTGCACTTTTTAGCGACCCTCGCGCCAGGGAACCGCTGTGGCCTAAGTGCTCCGACCGGTACAGGACTTGCCCTCCCGACGTCCCGCCCCCTCCGGACTCCTCCCCGCCCTCTCCGAGCCCCGCTCCCGTTCAAGCCCGCCCCTGGGTAGGCGCATTGCCGTTCGGCCTTCTGTGGGGGACCCAGCCCCTCGCGGTCTCAACCCCGCTCTCGCTCGCACCGAGCCCGCCTTCTCAAGCCCTGCCTCTGTCCTTGATCTTGGCGGCTTCCGCCAAGCGGGCGCAGAGCCACGCGGCGCGCTCCAGAAGGCTCTCTCTCAGCTGGCAACGCTGCCTCCCGGAGTCCCGGACAACCGCGCCCCGCACCCAGGGGCCTGGGATCATCCTCCCGGACCCAAGAGTCTGGGTTCGCTCCTCCCGGAGCTCCAATTCCGTGTCCCAGGTTCGAGAGCCCTGGCCCTCGGTTTCCAGGACCCAGGCACCGAGGGTTCTCGCCTCCCGGACCCAGGCGTCCCGGATCTGCGCCACCAGGACCCAGCCTCCTGTAACCTCCGCCACCGGTGCGCCCTCAGCCTCCCGTAGCCAAGGATCCCTCGTCCCGGTCCGAGAAGCTTCTGGATTTCCAACTCCCAGGGCCGAGAAACCCGGGTGCTCCCAACTCCTGGCTTTTGGGGCAGGAAGAGCAAAGCGGCCGCAGCGCCCAGCCTAGGGAACGTAAGACACTCCAGCTTCCAAGGGACTTCGGCGCCGTGAACTCACCGCTCTAAGGAGCCCTCCCAAGGTCCAGCCTCCGGGCGCTGTTACTCAACTCTCAACCCTAAAGGACGTCGGCGTCCTGAGAAGGAGCCCGGAGCGCTCCCAGCTGCCAGGCACCGAGAAACCCCGGAGCGTCCCACCATGGTGGCCGAAACCCCTAGAGGAGATCCCAAGGAGTTCGCGGCGGCCGAACCCACCAAGAACAGTGGCCCGGTGTCGGTCCCTGTAGAGGACCCAGGAGCCGCCTGCTGCGGCTCCTGGGACCAGGTGCGCCGCTGCCTCCGAGCCAACCTGCTGGTGCTGTTGACAGTGGTGGCCGTGGCGGCCGGCGTGGCGCTGGGGCTGGGGGTGTCGTCCGCCGGCGGCAGGCTGGCTCTGGGCCCGGAGCGCTTGACGGCCTTCGCCTTCCCGGGCGAGTTGCTGCTGCGCCTGCTGAGGATGATCATCTTGCCGCTCGTGGTGTGCAGCCTGGTCGGTGGCGCCTCCAGCCTGGACCCGAGCGCTCTGGGCCGCCTGGGCGCCTGGGCGCTGCTCTTTTTCTTGGTCACCACTCTGCTCGCGTCGGCGCTCGGCGTGGGCTTGGCGCTGGCGCTGCAGCCCGGCGCCGCCTTCACCGCCATCAACTCTTCGGTCGGGGCCACGGGCGCTATCGAACCGGCCCCGAGCAAGGAGGTGCTCGATTCGTTCCTGGATCTTGTGAGGTAAGACCCCGCCCGCCCGGGAGGTGGGGAAGGGGGTGCTCTACCATGTGAGCAGGGACCGCGTGCCACGGATGGCGGAGTGGCCACGTGGACAGGAAGGGAGGCTTTGGGTCCTCTAGAGCCTTAGGAAAACGGGACGGTGTGGTGGGGGGAGCTTTGGCTTCTTGGGAGGGTGAGGACAAATTCCTGGAGAAGGGTGCTTCCAAATTTGACGGTCTGAAGGCTGGCTCGTGGCTCACTCGGGAGAGTGCGGTGCTGATAACACCAAGGCCACGGGTTCGGATCCCATATAGGGATGGCCGGTTTGCTCACTGGCTGAGCGTGGTGCTGACAACACCAAGCCAAGGGTTGAGATCCCCTTACCGGTCATCTTTAAAAAAAAAAAAATAATAATAATAAATAAATAAATTTGAGGGTCTGGGTACATAAGTAGGACCCCACATGAGGGCGATAGGCAAGGAGGTCCTATAGAGGGAGGAGAAAGAATAGTGCTTGGGCGTCTTGTGGGGCATAGGGTCAGCCCAGGGGAAAAGGACCCTGTGAGGTGGGAATACTGAGGGGAACTTCTTGGGAGGAATCTTTAGGTGGCCATAGGCCCCATGGGGCTTCTGGATAAAGATTTGGGGCCAGGGTAAGAGGGCTTGTTACCCCAGGGTAAGGAGCCCCTGGAGGACCTGAGGAGATCTGGGTAACCACCACCAGGCCCTCTTCTCAGCCCCAAGGCTTCCCACACCATGTGTCACCTGGACCTAGCCTGGTTCTTTTCTCAGCCTCTCTTCCCCACCCAGTTCAGCGGGGGCCCGCCGCTTCCCCTTTATGTCAGGTCAGCCCTGCCACCCCCACCTTGCCATCCCTTTCTGTGTCTGGGCTTCCCCCGAGTAGGCTGCCCAGAAAGGGGGCAGTCTTTTACTTCTGCACTCTGGCGCCCCCCACCCCCCATTTCCCAAGAATGGCCCTCCTCCCTTTTGAGGATGGCAGACTGTTGGGTCCACAAACCCTTTCCTTTAGGGCCTGGCTGATTCAGTGTCTCCAGGCTGAGGACTTCCTGGAAGTGGGGGAGGACATGATGAGTCACGGAACAGGGTTTCCCCAGCCTCTGGGGCGTCAGCACAGGCTGAGATCGGAGATTTGGGGTATGCTTGGTGTCCTACTCTGGGTAGGCTTGGTCTCCTTATGGCTGGGGGAGATTAGCTGGGTCCTTGCCCAGCCCTGACCTGGGTGGTTAGAGGCCAACCTGTACGCCGGCACACCCACTCCAAGGCTGTTTATGAGCACAGGCCAGAACAGCTGTAACTCACGCTTGGCCAGCCATTCAGCACACAGAAACACTCAGCTATGCTGTAACATCTCAGAGCTGTACAATTTTATCACCAATTGACATACAGCTGGACACTGGCACACACTCAGCCACAGCTGTGACATCTCACAAACGCATGGCCTTACACCAACTGTCACACACATACCCACTGTGTGCTAACACCCTTTAGCACAGCCACTCTGTGATGCCACCGACCACACCAATGCCTAAACATATGCTCAAGAGCACAATACACACTCACATCCACACCTCTGTGGCCACGCACCAGCATGCTCACTCACAATTGAGCTCACTCCACCAGAGCTCATGGCCTAGCTGTCCCCAACACTGTCCCATACATCTGAACACTAACACGCACCCCCAACTGGATACCGATGCTTGACAAGCTGTATGCGGACTTGCAGCAACAGCTGTACACCCACGTCGTTAGTGAGAGAGAAGAAACAGTGGTTAGGGCTATGGCACCAGCTGCCTGGGTTGAAGTCCCAGCTGCACTGCTTCCTAGCTGAGTAAGTTCCTTCACTCTTCTGCACCTCACTCAGCATATTAGTCCCTTTTCTGTCACTTACAACAATAACTGAAACTGGGTATGGCATTAAGAAATGAGATTTATTTGTTATAGTTTTGGAGGCTGGGAAGTCCAAGGTCAAGGGTGCATTTCTGGTGAGTCCCTAGGTGACACAGGGCGAGAATGGCAAGAGTGTTTTTATGTGCTGACTTGCTCTCTTTATAAAGCCACCAGTCTACTCCCTGAGAACCCACTAAACCATTAACTCATTAATCCATGAATGGATTAATCTATTCACCACTGCATAGTCCTCCCGATCCAATCACCTCTTAAAGGCCCCGTTTTTCAAATAGTATAGTTGGATTTCCCACCCTTTTAATGTTGTTACAATGGGAGTCAAGCTCCAACATGAGCTTGGGGGGACATTTCAAACCACAGCACTTAGTTTCCTTTTCTGTAAAATGGGCTAATAGTGCTTATCCCCAGGCTGCTGTGAGGATTATTATTATTTTTGTTTGTTTTTATGGCTGGCCAGTATGGGAATCCAAACCAGTGACCTTGGTGTTATAAGCCTGTGCTCTAACCAACTGAGCTAACTGGCCTGCCTACTGTGAGGATTAAATTAACTTGTGTAAAAGACTTACTGCAGTTCCCGGCACACAGTAGGTGCTGTAGATGGATTAGCTGCTGTTTTCATCTCACAGCAGACACTGTCACGTCACAGTGGCCCTGTGAACACAGTTGCATATTCATGACACACAGTCATCTCTTGTCCACTTCCCAACACACCAGTTTCTCCCCCACACACTCTGATCCACCAGCCAGCCCTCCCATCAGCCAGCGGCCCCACCCCCGACCTGCCTTTTTCTCAGCCCTGCAGGAAGAAGTGGCTGATGCAAGACGTCCAGGTATTGAGTTTGCTGCATGGGGTGGAGCTGAAGCCGAGGGCGCCTGCCCTGGTCTGGTCAGCCTTGGGAGGCCATCATACCTAACCCTGATCCCACAGTCCTATGGGGCTAGAACACCAGCCTCCTGCAGCCAGAGAAGGCCAGCCCAGGTTCCCCACGCCCTGAAAAAGTGTGCAAACCCAGGTCCAACTCTGCCTGTCCGAACCCTGGCTGAGGCATGGGTGGGGGCCGAATTTGGGTGCAAGCAGGGTCTCGAAGTTTCCCATCATCCCCCTAAGAAGCCAACCCAGCTCCTCAGGCACCCCCTCCACTCCCCTTATGGTATCTAATAACCACCCATTGGTTTATCTCTACAGAAATATCTTCCCTTCCAACCTGGTGTCTGCGGCCTTCCGCTCAGTGAGTTCTTAAGGGTGTCCCAAGGGGCATGGGGTGGGCAGAGAAGGAGACAGCCATTTGGAGCGGTTTGGAACTAACTTGGGATGGTGCCTGGAACAATGCATGTGCCTACATGTTACAGGACATATTGGAGGGTTCTTGGGTAGCTTCTGAAACCCTCTCTCCATTGAGAAAAGAGAATACAAGTTCAGAGCCTCCTGTGGGTTTTAATTCTAGTTGTTTGACCCTAGGCAAGGGCTTTTACCTCTCTAAGCCTCAGTTTCTACTTCTGAAAAATGGGGCTATTAATAGTCGTGCGTCAGTGGGGTTGCTAGCCAATGAAATGAGGTCATGTTTAAGGGATGCTGAGGGCAGGCTTTGAGCATCATTAGCTCCAGTATCGGGTGGGGGAGCCTTGGTGACAACTAATACTGACTCTTTCCAACCCTACCTGCAGTATGCCACCTCCTATGAACAAAGAGGGGACAATGGAACCAAGGTGAAGGTGAGAGCAGGGAAGGGCAGGGGAGCCCCACGCCTTGGCCCGTTGCTGTGGCTTTCTTGTTTCGTTCTTTCCCATGTTTGTCTGCCCTTCCAACATTTCCGTGTGGAATTTGATTTAAGCTGTCTGTAGCCTAGCCCTTCTCCAATTTCTGTCTTTTCTGCCTTGTGACTATGTCTCCCTTTGTCCCCTCTTTTCCCTCCCCATGGCCCCCACTCCTTCGGGTCCAGGCTTCTTTTTCCCCCCTTTACCCCCACCCACCTCCACCCTCCCCACCCCATCACATCCTCTCCCAGGCCTGCTCCTTCCCACCTGTCCCCAACCTGGCAGCCCGAGGGGTCTTTCCAAAGCACAAATTGGACCCTATCTCTCCACTGCCCAGAGCCCTGCCATATTCCCCAGTGCCCGCAGGAGAAAGCCCAGGCTCCTTGCTACTGTGCATGAGCAAGTGGTCCCTGTGAGGTTGGACCCTGTCCTTCTGCTCAGCCTCACCCTGTGACTCTGCCTAGCTCATTCTACTGTAGCCATAGTGGATTTCTTTCTGTTCTTTGAATGCCCCAGCTGGGCTCATTTCTAGGCTGTTACACATTCTGTTTCCTTTCTCTAGAGCTGTCTACCACTCCTCTTTACCTGGTTCACTCCTGTATTCCAGGTCTCAGTTCAGATACCTCTTCCTCCAGGAAGCCCTCCCTGACTGCCCCACCACTCCCCAAGCGGGCTGCCCCTCTCAGTTCCCACATATCCCTAGGCTGTCCCATTCTAGATCTGCCTACTCTGTGTCATCTTTGGTGACAGGTCTATTTCCTCTGGACCTAGACTGTGGGCCATGGGAAGAGGAGCTGTCTTGTCTTTGCTGGGTTCCAGTGGTGCCCAGGACAGGCCTCAGTGCCTGTAGGTTGACTGAGTGTCCCTCCTCCCACTCCCGTCTGTTCCTTGCCAAAGGTGCCTACAGGACATGAGGTGGAGGGCATGAACATCCTGGGCCTGGTAATGTTTGCCATTGTCTTTGGTGTGGCCCTGAGGAAGCTGGGGCCTGAGGGGGAGCTGCTCATTCGCTTCTTCAACTCCTTCAATGATGCCACCATGGTGCTGGTCTCCTGGATCATGTGGTATGTGGGGGTGTGGGTTGGGAGAGTTGGCCAGAGGCAGGTCAGGCATGTCTATGTGGGGTGGAGGGACCCTCCATCCACTCCCTGGAGCCAGATTGCCTGGCTCTGTGACTTTGGGTGAGTGACTTACCATCTCTGTGTCTTAGCTTCCTCATCTATAAAATAGGGACAATGCTGTATTCCATGAGTGCTAAGGTCGGTGCCAGCTTTTTTTTTTCTTATTTTGCTGACTGGCTGGTATGGGGATCCGAATCGTTGATCTTGGTGTTGTGACACTGGGCTCTAACCAACTAACTGGTCTGCCCCTGGAATTTTTTTGATCTTACTAGACGGTGACAAAAGACAACCAGACAATGGCCACTCTTAGTTTCAGAGATTTTTTTTTTCTTTTTTTTTGGCGGCTGGCTGATTTAGGAATCCAAACCCATGACCTTGGTGTTAGAAGGCTGCACTCTAACCAGCTGAGCTAACTGGCCAGCCCAATTTCGGAGATTTAATTGTAATCAATGTTCACCTTTGAACTGACGATCTAAAATAGTGCCTACTTCATAGAGTTATCATGAAGATTAATTGAGTGACTGAGGTACAGGAAAAGCAGTTAGAAAGTGCTTTAAATGCCTGGCATCTAGTGAGCATTAACTTAATGTTAAATATGATAATAATCATCATTATGAGTTGTGTTAAATGACTCCAGATGAGAAAAAAATATGTGCCAATCCTGCCGACTTAGCCCTCCCACTGTCCTGTCTCCACATGGTCTCACACTGATTCTCTGGACCTACCCTGGATTTAGAAAGTCAGGAATCAGGAGAGGGGCCAGGGGTGCTGCTTTTTAAACAACCCCCCAGATTCCAGTGCAGCTGACGTCGTCAAAGCTGCTATTTGCCTGTTGCCCACTGAGTGCTCACAGCCTTGCCTAATAAAAGGGGAGGCTGGGTGGAGGTGTGGGCGAGAGCAGTGTGCTGCAGCTGGGCAGCCTGGGTTCCCGTCCCAGTGCTGCTGCTTCCCAACGGTATGCCCTACCTTAAATTACTTAGCCCTTTTGTGCCTCAGTTTCCCCACCTGGAAAATGGGGTTAATAGTACCAGCCTCAACGGGTGTTAGTAAAATGAGTTAATACGTGTAAAGTATTTGGAATACTGCCTGGCCTATCGCATGTCCACAGTAAGGAATATTTTTGGAGCACTTTGCTTGTGTAAATTCTAGGCATGTCCCACTGGCCAGACCTTGGACATCTGGCCACACCTAGCTGCACATGTGTCTGGGAAATGGTGCCTTTCTTCTGTGACTAATGAGAAGGGGTAGGGAGACAATTGGCCATAGCGATCAAGCAGTCACGGAGGTGATCTGGGGAGGCCTCCTGACTGGGAGACATGAGCCCCGCCACCCTGGGATCTTCACTGCAGGACAGGGTGATAATAATTCCACCTGAAGTTTTTGGGTCACTTATTATGTACAGAAAGTTTTCAGCTCATTTCAACTGGCATCTCACTTTATCCTCCCAACATTTGTGTGAGGTCGGTAGCATTATTGTGTGTTTTATAGGCCTATTAGATATTTAATTTTGATTGTTGCAAGAGACTCATAACAGGAGCTCACTTGTGGGGTTGTTGCGAAGATTCAGTCATATTCAAGGGCTTAGCACATTGTAAATGCTTCATACCTGGGAGTTTTAAGACCTGAGCCACGGCTTTTTATTTTTCACGATATGCTGAGAGTGTATGGTTCAAGTTATAACAACTGCTATAACAAACAAACCCAGAAAACGTCAATGACTTACACAGGATGCATGTTTCTCACTCATGTGTAAAGTTTATTTTATTTTATTTTTTTTCCATTGCCACCCACTCATGTGTAAAGTTTAAATATGGTGACTCCTTCAGACTGTGATGGAAGCACCCAGGCTTCTTCTTTTTTTTTTTTTTTTTTTTTCTTTTTGAGACCGGCCGCACTGCACTCAGCCAGTGAGCGCACCGGTCATCCCTTTATAGGATCCGAACCCGCGGCGGGAGTGCTGCTGCGCTCTCAGCGCCGCACTCTCCTGAGTGAGCCACGGGCTCGGCCCGCCCAGGCTTCTTTTATTTCCTGGCTCACTATCTTCAAGGGGAAAGAGCGTAGAGTCTGCAGGGGAGGCTTCCCCAGGCCAGGCCTGGGAGTTGTGCCCACATTTCAGCACCCCTTGCTGAGGCTCCTCCTGACTGTGGGGGAGGCTGAGAAATGTGGTTGGGGTGCTGAGCACAAGGCCTGGCCGTTGTGGGCACATGGTCAGAAGCAGCAACCTGTCTCTCTGGTGATTAGGTACGCCCCTGTGGGCATCTTGTTCCTGGTGGCTGGCAAGATTGTGGAGATCGACGATGTGGGGATGCTCTTCGCGAGCCTTGGCAAATACATACTGTGCTGCTTGCTAGGCCATGCCATCCATGGGCTCCTGGTGCTGCCCCTTATCTACTTCCTCTTCACCCGCAAAAACCCCTACCGCTTCCTGTGGGGCATCATGACGCCCCTGGCCACTGCCTTCGGGACTTCCTCCAGGTGTGTCTTCTTGCTGACCAGAGTAAGGTTTTTAAGCTAAGGGGCATGGAGTGGGCATCAGGTGTCTGAAGACCACTGAAATTTTGTTCGGGGACATTGGATCTGGGTACAGGGGCCATACTTTCCTAAGTTTCTCATAAGGTCCTGGATTATGAAAAAGTTAGGAACCCACTCACTGCCTTAGAGATTTCATCTCCCTTCCTTAGAACGCCCTCCCACACTACCCCCAGCAACCCCGTCCAAATCAAATACCTCCTCTCCACCAAGCTCAGGCCTTGGGGATGGGACCCTCATGCTTCACGCAGGATCCAACCTCTACGAGTTCCTTCTACCTTTTCTAGTGGGTGTTCCATCCATCTCTGCTGGCCTTGTCCCCTCTGAACCCGACCCTCCCAGCCACGGCATCCCCAAGAGAATAGTAATCCCTAGTCTGTTATTGGTGGAGAAGGGGCAGGGGTCGGGGTCAGCAAACGCTCAGAGACTAGAATTTAGGTGTGAATTTTGTGGCTATTCTGAGGGTTAGCAGCCTGTACTTTCCGGGGATCCAGGATTACATTTTGGAATCCTAGCATTCTGCTGGATCCCTAATGACATCATCTTTTTCTGTGGGAAAAGAAGGGCCGAAGACTATTCTGACATTTTTATAAGCTAAATGTTAATCCATATATTGAGAGAAAAGTGAAGTAGTGAAGGGTCTTTGGTTCCAATTTTAAGAATATTTTCAAATAAAAACCATTCTTTTCCAAAGCTGATCATAGTATATTAATATGGTCATATTACTAGTTTTTAAAAATGTAACAATGCTAAATACCTACCAAGTTATGTATACATGCATAGAGGAATAGTAATGGCTGGAGCCTGAGCCTGGACGCGGCAGGGCCGGGGAGGTGGGCGGGGCCTTGGCTGAGCGAGCGCTGTGGGCGGGCCCGGGCTGGCCGCTGAGTTAGCTCTGCATCCCGCACAGCTCCGCTACGCTGCCGCTGATGATGAAGTGCGTGGAGGAGAACAACGGCGTGTCCAAGCACATCAGCCGCTTCATCCTGCCCATCGGCGCCACCGTCAACATGGACGGTGCAGCCCTTTTTCAGTGCGTGGCCGCGGTGTTCATTGCACAGCTCAACCGGCAACCCCTGGACTTTGTGAAGATCATCACCATCCTGTGAGTGTGGGTGGCTGTACTCAGGGCCCCAGACCCACCTGACCCCCATCTTCTCCCACTATCGAGGGCTGTGCTTGACCTCCACTCTCCTTCCCCAGGGTCACGGCCACAGCGTCCAGCGTGGGGGCAGCGGGCATACCTGCTGGAGGTGTCCTCACTCTGACCATCATCCTCGAAGCCATCAACCTCCCTGTCAACGATATCTCCTTAATCCTAGCTGTGGACTGGCTAGTGTGAGTGTGGGTTCGGGGCTTCAAGGGACTCAGGGGTAACCCTAGGAAAGGGGATGAGGGAGAGAGTCATTGAGCGCCTCTGGACGGAAGAGGAGAAGAAGGAAAGAGTTCTAGAGGAAAGAGGGTGGGACCTTGAACGTTCCCAGTAGGGATGACATTTTGGGGGTTTCTAAGAAGCCCCAGAAAGGTAGTGAACCCAAGTGGTTAATAGAGCTGACTCTTAGGCCAGTCTGCTGGGGTTCAAATCTCAGCTCCACCAGTCACTAGCAGTTATGACTTTGGGCAAGAACTTAATCTTCTTGTGTCTCAATTTCTGCGTCTTAAATGGGGAAAGGAATAGTCTGTCCTTAAGGATTAGATGACTTAATACACATAGCTCCCTTAGAATAGCCTCAAGTAAGCAGTAAATGCTACCTAAACTGTTCACTATCATGATTAAGCTACTAAGAGTAAAAAGATTGGAAAACAGTTTGGCCTCAAGTTAAATGAGTTATCATAAATTTCAGCAATACCACTCCTAAGTATGTGCCCAAGAGAATTGAAAACAGGTTCACACAAAAACTGGTACATGAATGTTCACAGCAGCATTATTTACAATAGCAAACATGGAAACAACCCAAATGCCCATCAACTGAAAATGGATAAATAAGATGTCAAATGGCCGTACAATAGAATATTATTCAGCAGTAAGAGGGAATGAAGCATTGATATGCACATTCATACTGCAATATGGATGACCCCTGAAAACACGCTAAGTGAAGGAAGTCAGTCATGAAGGGTCACACAGTATATGATCCCATTTATATGAAATGTCCAGGATAGGCAAACCCATAGAGATGAAAATGGATTAGTGCTTGCCTAGGGCTTAAAGAAGGGAGGAATTGGGGGGTGACTGCTTAATGGGTATAAGGGTTTCTTTTTGGGGTGATGAAAATATTCTGGAATTAAACAGTGGTGGTGGTTGCACAACCCTGAATATACTAAGAACCACTTAACTGTACATTTTAAAAAATTTAACATTATACAATGTAATCAATTTTCATGGACTTTCCCCCCTTGAACTGTATACTTTTAAAGGGTGAATTTTAATGGTATATGAATTATATCTCAATTTAAAAAAAAAGCCCATACACGTAAAAAGTATAAAGAGGAAGGAAAAAAAAGATTCTTAAGATTCTAGGGAGGAGAAAGGTCTGAGGGAGAACTTCAGTATTCCATGGGGAAAGAGGAAGGGTGAATGGGTCTTTTGGGGCCCTCTGTGAGGGGAAGGATGACTTTCTGAGGTTCTGGAAGGAAAAGATCTTGTGTGTTAGAAAAAGTGTCATTTGTGGTCCAGGGAGGATGGAGGAAGATATCTTTGGGGTTCTAAGGCAGAGAAGGTATGACGTGACACTTTGGGATTCCAGGGGAAAGTGGGGAGGTACGGGGTTTCTGGGGTTCAGGATGAAAAGATCTTTGAGGTTCTAGGAGGAAGGGATATTTGGGATTCTGGGAGGATGGAGGGATGAGCTTTTGGGTTCTAGGAGGAATAGGACAGGGTTTCATGATGGAGGGTGGCATGAGGGAACATTGATTCCAGGGGAGAGGGACAGAAGGGTTGGGCCGTGGCCCCTTTCCTCCACTCCCCTCCCACTCACTTTCCCATCACTTCTACTTCCTTAGGGACCGGAGCTGCACCATCCTCAATGTGGAAGGTGACGCTTTGGGGGCCGGACTCCTCCAAAATTATGTGGATCGTACAGAGTCGCCGAGCTCAGAGCCCAAGTTGATCCAGGTGAAGAGTGAAACACCCTTGCCACTGCCGGCCCCTGCTGAGGAAGGGAACCCCCTCCTCAAACACTATCACGGGCCCGCTGGGGATGCTGCCACCTCTGAGAAGGAATCAGTCATGTAAACCCTGGGAGGGACCTTCCCTGCCCTGATGCGGGGCACATCGGAGATAAATGGACAAACTGAGGCTCTAGGGGACTGCCTACACACTCTGGGCAGACAGGGGCACCAGCCCCCTCCTGGATCTGGGAGGCCTTGCTGCTGGGGTTTATGTGTATATGTGTGTATGAATGCATCTCCCCAAATCTCCCCAGTCCTCATCTCATGTCCCTGACCCAAGGCTAGGAAACAGCAAGATGGAGAAATAATGTCTTCCTGCTCCACAACCTCCTCCACCCCCCCACCCACCCACCGCCAGGGCCTGCCTGGCCTTCCCTGTCTCAGGGCCCAGGTCACCATGTGGAATTCTACACCCTTTTAGGGCAAGGCTATTTTGATGCTCGTTATTTTGGTGGCTGTAGCTGTGGGATGTGTGTGTGTGTGTGTGTGTGTGTGTGTGTGTGTGTGTGTGTGTGTTCTATGAACACCTACTCTCTATGGTACATCCCATCCTGTCCCTAGGCCCTGTGTTCCCTCCACAGTAACAGAAACACTCCCAGGAACATTTTTTTTAAACAATAAAATTGAATGTCAAGTATATTTAATCAGGCGTTTCTAAGAATTTGACTAAAAGTACTAGCCACAACAACATCTGTTCATCAAGAAACGCCATTGGAGACCACAACGAGACGCCATTGTGCACCTGTTAGAATGGCTAAAAACAAACACCACCAAGCTCTGAGGATGAGGAGCAGCTAGTCTCTTGTACATTGCCTGTGGGAATGCAAAATGGCGCAGTCATTTTGGAAAATAACTGGGCAGTTTCTTATAAAGTTAAAATATTCACTTAGCATGCGTCTTAGGAGTCACACTCCTGGGTATTTACCCAAGAGGAATGAAAAGGGCTGTTCACAGAAAAACCTGCACACAAATGTTAGCTGCTCTATTCATTGTTGCCAAAATCTGGGAACAAATCAATTGGATAAACTGGTACCTTTATATGATAGAAGGCTACTCAGCAATAAATAGAAACAGTGTACTGCAGCATGGATGAATCTCACAGGTAATTTCTTGAGATAAAGAAGCCAGAAACAAAATACCAACTGTATAGTTGTATATCAACTGTATAGATGAAGGTCTACAATGGTTCAGATCCCTGTACCGGCCAGCTACCCTCCCTCAAGGAAAAAAAAAAAACATAGATGAAGATCTAGAACATGCTAAACTGGCCTATGGTAAGAGAAATAAGAATTGTGACCTAAGAATGCACATTGACTGGGAGGGCACAAAGGAACCTTCTATGATAAAGCAACTATCCTGTTAATGTTGAAATAGGTAATGGTTACACAGGGGTATACATCTGGATGCAAATTAATTAATTGGATACAAATTAATTTGCATACAAATTAATTAACCTGTACATTTAAGACTTGTGCATTTTTCCCTATTCTAGTTAAAAATTTTGTACAACGCATGGTAAGATTTTCCATTGTGACCACCTACACAGGAATGAAGATATCCCTTGATATCTGAGTTGTCACCACACAAATAGTCCTAATGATGACTTACTCTTTTGAAACCCAAAATTTGCTATTTGAATCAAAAAACCCCTGTGCAACTGTTTTAAGTCTTTTTTTTTTTTTTGCTGGCGACTGGCTGGTACAGGGATCCAAACGCTTGACCTTGGTGTTACAATGTTTTAAGTCTTGTGTGAGTCAGAATATGGACTATGCTGCTGGTGCTTCTCGCCTTCTAGCGGCATCCTGTCTTGTGCGTTGTTGAAGCATGTTAGACATTGTTGATGTTTTCTTCCTCTTCAGTAGTCCCTGTATTGACCTCTGTCAGGTGCCTGGAGGCACAACCAACCTGGGTCCAATTATAAATGGTATCTTGAGTATCTTCAGCATCTTCTGACCATTGCGGGATGGAAGGAAAATAGAATTTATATCTGATTCTGCAGAACTGTTTATTGTCTACAAACATAGCATATTTGATTCTGTGCAGAACTGTGTATTGCACAGAAACGTAGCATAGTCACTAATGAGTTTAAGTGTTGAATAATTAGATAATTGGTGTTTTAAATGCTTTCTATTATCCCATGATCCTTGGGTTGTTATATTGGTGTTTAAGAATTTTAATGATACTTGAGGAACTCGGTTGGGGTTTTGGATGGAGCTGTGAGTGCATTGTTTTCCCTACTTTAAAGAGTGGTTTATCCAAAAATTTGCTACTTAACACTTTTGGAATGGATTAGATTTGGATTATGAGGGATGTCTGTTTATAGAGATACATACATACTCACTTACATAATATATTGCATTACAATCTATGCATACAATATGTGTATATGCAAATATGTAAGTGAAACAAGTTTCACCAAAATTTCCTTACCTGTTTTTTTCTATTCCATTTAAAAAAATTGCTAGGCATATGTCACTAATTTGCTTAAAATGCTGATTTACCCTGTGTAGAAAAACTGGAGCCATCTCCAACCTCCTTGGTGTGGACAGGAGGTTAAAGAGCCCCTCAGACCCAGCCCCCTAAGCTCTGAATAATTATAGTCAACATTTATTGAGCAATTACCTCATTATGAGCATTTTGCACATATATTTACTTGTTTCTTTTTCTTTTTTTTTTTTTGTCTTTTGTCTTTTTCCATGTCCGGCAACAGATCGCAACCCTCAGTGTTGCCCCCGCACCGGACCGGGGACCGGCAACGGGATCGCAACCCTCGGCGTTGCTCCCGCGCCTCGCTCAACCAGTGAGCGGGAACCAGTCCGTATGTGGGATCCGAACCCTCGGGCGGGAGCGCCGCCGCGCTTCCCAAGCGGCGCACTTATCCAGTGCGCCACCGGGCCAGCCCTTGTTTATTTTTCTAAACAGCTCTCTGAGGTAGTTCCAATTATTTGGATCCCCATTTTATTTATTTTTGCAGCTGTCTAGTAAGGTGGATCTGAACCCTTGATCTTGGTGTTATCAGCAGCACATTCTGATCCCTATTTTATCTTTACTTATTTATTTGGTGCCTGGACAGTGTGGGGATCTGAACCTTGACTGATTCCCATTTTAAAGAGAAGGAAATGAGACACAAAAAATTGAGCCCACAGTCACCCAGCCAGGAAGTGGCAGAGCTGGGATTTAGACTCCTCCATCTTGGCTTAAGTGTTCCCACACTTAAACACCATGCTACCCTGCTCCTCTATAATAATTATGAATAAAAATAATGCCTGCCTTCATACCTGAGTCTGTTAGCAGCTTCCCATGCAGGATTGCTCCGAATTATCACATTAACCCTGTGAGGTGGTGTAGTGGATTGAATTATGTCCCCCCAAAACTCACTGAAGCTTGAATCGTGTCCCCCAAGTTTTACATACTAGAAACTTGGTCCCCACTGTTACTGTTAAGAGGATGGAAAATCCTATTATGGTAATTGAAAGGTAGAGCCTTAAAGAGGTGATTGGACTGTAGGACCGTGCAGTAGTGAACGGATTAAAAATGGTGGTCAGGGGCGTGGTTCTGAGGGCTGACTGTTAAGAGGATGGAAAATCCTATTATGGTAATTGAAAGGTAGAGCCTTAAAGAGGTGATTGGACTGTGGGACCGTGCAGTAGTGAACGGATTAAAAATGGTGGTCAGGGGCGTGGTTCTGAGGGCTTTAAAAGAAGAGTCGTTCTCGCTCACTCTCTGTTCTGTCTGCTTCCACCATCTTGCAATGTGAGACCCCTGGGTCACTATCGCCACCATGAGATGGACTTTGGACTACCCAGCCTCAGAAACTGTAAGCAATAAATGTCATTTCTCAGGTATTCTGCTATAGCAACACAAAAAGGACTAATATAGGTGGGCACTATGATTGTTCCCATTTTACAGACAGGGAAACTGACTGCCAAAATTAAGAAGCGTTTCCAACGTTGACGCAGAACAGAGATGCAAACCCAGGCCTGGTCCATGTTCTTTCCTACCACCATGCCCTCCGGTGTCTTTCATCACATCCTCTAATTGTGAGTTAGTATATTCCAGTGCTAGGACCAAGGACTCCATTGAACAATAATTTCAAATATTTTTTAAAACCAGTGGATTGAGGCTGGCCAGTTAGCTCAGTTGGTTGGAGTGAAGCCTATAATACCAAGGTCATGGGTTCGGATACTTCGGATACTTGTACTGGCCAGCTGCCAAAAAATAAAAAATAAATAAATAAAACTAGTGGACTGTCTTGGAATGAAATCTGTGCAAGTCTCAGGTGAAAGGTGGAAATGGTGGCTTTGATCAAAAGGGTGGGAAGACTGTGGCCTCCAGACACCTTGGGGACTTTTGATTCCTCAGAGATCGTCTCTGTTCTGGTGTTGGGGACCCAAGGGCTGTGGAAGGGTGCAGGAGCTGGGGTTGGTGCAAGGGACAGGCCACTTTATTTCCCTTCCCTGCTATACCCTCCTTTTGCCCCCGCGCCCCACAATGAGACTATCAGCAGCCCCATTTTCTCTGCCGTCAAATGAAACCCCAAATCAGGTCCCTCCCACCACCCTCAGGGTAGGTACTACCCTGGTCCAGCTGCCATCCTCTCCCACCCAACTATTGCACTCACCTTCCCACCCTGCCACCGTCTTTTTCCCACGAGGCCATCAGAGGGCGCCTGTTCCCTTACCGCAGCTCAGGTCCCTCCGCTGCTCAGAACCCTCCCAGGCTCCTGCCTCAGAAAAAGCCACAGTGCTCACCGTGGCCCGCAAGCTCTCTGCAGGGTCTGCTATCCCACCGTGCTTCACTGACCTCACCTCTTCCCACTCTCCCTCACTCACTCACTACAGCCACACCAGCCTCCTTGCTGTTCAACATACCAGGCCCACCCCTGCCCCAGGGCCTCTGTATTGGCTGGTCCTCTTCCTAGATGCTCTTCCCTCAGATCTCCACTTGGCTTCTTCCTCACCTCCTTCACATCTTTGCTCAAATGTCACCTCACGGAGGCCTTCTCTGATTACCTTGTCTAATTCTACAACCTCCGCTCCCTGTCCTCCACCCTCAGCCACCCAACCCCTACCCTGTTCTTTTTTTATGTAGTAATTATCACCACCTAACATACAATGTAATTCACTTATTTATTATGTTTACTGCTCACTGCCTGTCCCTACTAGGATGCACACTGCACAGGGGCCATCTTTGACTCATTCACTGCTATATGCACAGAGCACAGTATAGGGTCTAGCACATGCACATAGCAGCTGCTCAATAAATATTTACAGGATCCAAGTAGAGTCACCTGGCTGTAAGAGGCTGGATCAGTTCTGTTTCAGCTACCTGTTGTCTATGTGACCTTGGGTAAGCAGTGCCAAGCCTCACCGACTGGTGACAATGGCTTTGTTATGCCTCACCCAAAGGCAGTGAAGGTTACATAAGAACAAGAGAAAAAGCACCTGGATGGCCACTCCCTGGGGCCCAGCTCCCACCTCCCTCTCCCTTCCTCCATTGCCCCACCTCCCACCGGTGCCCTTGCTTCTTTGAAGGAGCCTGGCCTGGGAGGGAGGGACCAGGCTGGCCTGGAGTGGACTTGGACCTGGGTTCTAGGCTGGGAGTGGCAATATGCCTACACAGGTCAGTGTTTCTAGGCCTGTTGGACTCTCCCCCACCCTGCTTTTTTTGAAGCCAACCTAATTGAGTCATAATTTACATACAATAAGGGCCGGCCCGTGGCTCACTTGGGAGAGCATGGTGCTGACAACACTAAGTCAAGGGTTAAGATCCTCTTACCGGTCATCTTAAAAAAAAAACATATACAATATACTGCATCCATTATAATCCACTTCCACAATCCAGATACATGTTATTCCCAGAACCCCCAAATTTCCTCATGGTTCTTCCTCTCCCTCCACCTCCAGGTCCAGGCAACCACTGATCTGCTTTTGGTCACTATGAATTAGTTTTGTCTCTTCTAGAATTTTACATTACTGAAACTGTATTGTATGTAGCTTTTTGCATCTGCCTTCTTTTACTTAGCATAATGCTATTGGGATTTATTCATGTTTTGGCATGTATCAGTAGTTCATTCCTTTTTTTTTTTAATATATCGCTGAGTAGTATTCCATTGCGTAAACGTACTACAGTTTTTTTATCCAGTCACCTGTTCATGGACATTGGGTGGCTTCCAGGTTTGGGCTATTGTGTGTGCACAAAGGTGTATTTGTATACAGTTCTTTGTGTGCCACCCACTTTTCTTAGCAAATCTTTTGTAATACCAGGGGCAACATGAAGAGTATTTGTTGCTGGGCAGGCAATGGCCCATGTGGAGCCTGGGCTCCCCTCCCCTCACACTGTGCCCAGTGTTAACCCTTGGCTGCTGGGTCACAGGGAGGTCCAGGGCGTCCTCAAGGAGAGCCAGGAGGATACTAATAGTCTGGGGGGTCATGGCAGTGACCATTTACCAACGAGCTGGCTGGAAAGGGAATCTGAACCTACGACCTTAGTGACATAAGGCTGCACTCCCACTGAGCTAATGGGCCAGCCCTAACATCTCTTTTCGTCTTATCCACCACGTGTGCTGGCTTGAATGTGTTAACCAGTGCATGTGCTGGCCTGAATATCAGCTCTGGGAAAGGTCTCTCTGCTCTCCTGAAATGAAGTTCACAGATAATATAGACCACTTGCACGTGACTTTTAAAACGACCTTTTATTGCCCTATTAAAAAGGAGAGATAAAAGGATGGTAATTTATAATATTCATTTCCCCAGAACCCAAGGAGGTAGCCAGACGTTTATACCTGTAATGCAGGCAGCTCTCAACATGACGGAAACATGTGGGATTGTTGTCTAATTACTCAGAGCCATGTGCAATGTCATTTCCTGAGAAGGTGTACAATCCTTGGCCAAGTTTCAAACAAAACATGCTATAAGCTTCCCTCATTTACATAGTAGTGCACTTCCTGGAAAATTCTGAGGGTATTAAAACCTTACAAAAAGGACTTTGTGTTTACAAGCGAGAGCTAGGCTCTGGTTTCAGATAATTATTACCAGGGTTTTCATGTCTAACTAAGGCTAAACTTAGGTGATCTGCACTAGTACGGATTTACTAGTTATTAAAACATCAAAATACTTCTATTCTGGCTGGTTAATAGTACAAGAATAGTTGAGAAAGCAAAAAAATTCGGTGACATGCATAAAATAAACTCATTGGTTCAAGCCGATTGTTGTGATTTATTTTTTGGGGAGGTGGGTGGCTGGCCAGTATGGGGACCCGAACCCATGATCTTGGTGTTGTAACACCATGCTCTAACCAACTGAGCTAACAGGCCTTCTGGGCTTTCTGTCACATCGTAACTTAGCTAATATTAAAGACAATGAATGTATAAAACTATCAGACAGTACTATAAAGGCTAGAAAAGTTTTAAATGTACTTGCTGTTTGTTCAGGAATAATGAAGAGAGGAGAAAATCTCAACACACTATGGTTGATAGTAAGAGAAATTATCTATTGAGACTGCAAGTTACCTAATGATTCTTAATTTAATGGGAAGTTGCTGGAAGCATCTGATGTGGTTCTCTGTATCAAATCATAGCTAAGGTAGGGTTATTGTTACTATAGACAGTGACACCTGTATCAAGAAATCACATCAATAATTTATTAACAAAACAAAACGATTACAACAATTTGAGAGTGAGGTGAGTTCCAAATTATGTTCTTGGTAACTAATCTAAAGAAATATGTATATATAGGTATATTGCTTGGATTTAAAAATAAATATTTTAAAAATGTGGCATATATTGACTTATATTTATATTACTGTACCAGTTGCAAAGTACTTTGAATATCACCCTTCCCTCATGAGTGTCCAATGGGACATTTGAAAACTATGAGACAAGGGATGATGCTTTATTGTGTGGAGGTGCTCTGCATATTATAAGACATCTGCACCCCCAGGCCATGCCTTCCAAGAGCCAAGAGCACCGCCCAGTCATGATAACCCAAATCATCCCTATACGATCCCAGAATGCTCCCTGAGGACCCTATAGTCTCTTTGTGAACCATTTGTGGGTTCAGTGGTTAAAAGCAGAGGGTGGGTTATAAATAGTCAGGCTATGGATGTCTAAGCCTCACATTTATCTTCTCTTGCTGGTCTGTGATGTCTCCTCCTCCAAGGAATGTACAATTCTGCAGTATTACCAACCCCCCAATTTATAGGTTCAGACAGTCAGTGACTTGCCTAAGATCACAAAGAAAGTAGGTGGCCATGTCAGGATTCCAACTCAGCCCCGACTTCTGACCTCTTTACCACTAACATGCCTCACAGCTACCTGTGGGATAAGTGCTCTCACTGCACTCATTTCTCAGGTGCAAAGCAGAGGCCCAGAGACACAGAGTCATCGAAGTCCCAAGTTCATACTGGAAGTGGCAGGGCTGGGGTTTGAACCCAGGCCTCTCCTACCTCAGAGCCTACCTTTTTTTAAACCTGTGGTCTCGTAAGCAAGGTGCACACACCCAAGAGGTGTGTGAAACAGATCATTAGTATGAGGCCAGAAAACATAAAAACCTCCATTCATATTTTTAATTTTAAAATGGAATAATTTAAGCTTTATTACTTTATACACACTGATAGGAGTACCTGCACATAATTCACAAATAAATATACACACACTGGGAGTACATGCCCAAATACTGTTTACTCTTAGTACATGATCAAAAATGGAAGGCTGCATACCGGCCAGCCACCAAAAAAAAAAAAAGGAAGACTGGCTGCCATCGATTTTACCTGGCACCACATCCCAAAAGCCCCCTTGGGTACCATTACTAGAGGGGAGCAAAGTTCGTTAAATCAAGTGTGGGCTCTGGAGCCTGATAACCTAGGTTCAAGCCCCTAATCTGCCACTTCCTAAACTGTCTCACCTTGGGCAACTGACTTCACCATTCTGGCCTCAGTTTCCTCATCTGTAAAATGGAAATAATAGCAGCCATCACTTGAGAGGGTTAAGGTGAGGGATAAATCAGTTAACCCATGTGAAACCTTGAGAAAGATGTCTGGTGCCCTCAGCAAATATGAGCTATCATTATTGTTCACTCCTCCTGGCAGGCAGGGAAACAGGTACAGAGAACTGAAAGGAGATAATAATGATGAGTAAAGCTGGGATCCAAAACCCCATTCTTAACCACAGCTGCACCTCAGAGCTCTGAGGCTGTTTCCTCCTCTGCAAGGTGGGTTAAGAGCAGCATGCACCTCACAGGGCTCTCCCAAGAGGGTACATTCTGGAAGAAGGGGAGATGGCCATCGTTGTCCCGCTGCCCACAGGAGCTTAGAAAGAAGACCTAAGGCTCTAGAGATGCTATAGCTACAAAACAGAGGACCTGGGCTCACTGTCGCTCTGGCATCCACAGCAGGCCACCAGGAGCGGGACAGGCGCGCCCTCTAGTGGCAGAGGCAACCCCAGCAGCCAACGGTCCCGAGAGCTCATTCCGTGCCAGATACCAAGAGTACTCATCGAATCCTGGAAGCAACTGAGGCACAGAGTAACTGCGACATTCCCCCAGGCCCACCTAACTAGTAAGTGGTGGAGCCCGGGTTTGAATCTTGCCAGCGTGGGCCCAGAACCCATTTTCTTCCCCTCTCTTTCTAAAACTCGTTCCCAGCCCCAGAGCACAGAGCTCTTGGGAATCCTGAGCAGGGCACTTCTTTGAGGTCCTGGACTGTGCTGGACTCTGCAGGGCGGCGGGGCATCCCTGGCCCCCTCCACCAAATGCCAGCGGCTCCCTCAATGACTAGGATGACCGAGGAGGTACCCACATATATCCATCGACCACAATGGGCAGGAACATTTGAGAATCTCTGGATGTTGCTTGCGATCTTTGGCCTGGTTCTGTCCTCCTGCCAAAGCTGGGCTTCTCTGTACTCTTCCTCTAATCTCTTTCTTGGTTGGTTCCCTTGTCCCTCCCTCTCCCACACGCTCCCCACCCCCCAATCAAACAAATCCTCTCCAGGGCCTGCCCGGTGGCGCACTGCTACAGTGCGCCGCTTGGGAGCGCGGCGGCACTCCCGAGGGTTGGGATCCCACATACAGACCGGTTCCCGCTCACTGGCTGAGCGAGGTGCGGGCGCAGCACCGAGGGTTGCGATCCCATTGCCGGTCCCGGTCCGGTACGGGCGCGACACTGAGGGTTGCGATCCGTTGCCAGACACGAAAAAAGACAAAAAGGAAAAAAAAAAAAAAAATCCTCTCCACATCGATAGACCCCAAAAGGCAAAGGACAGCTCCCTGTGCCGGAAAGTTCCCCGAGCCCAGGCACAGGTGTCATGGCTTCAGCCACTTCCCGTCAAACTCAGGAGTGCTGGGTTGGGGTACTCGGGGTTCTCGATGACTCCAGGGCCGAACTTGAGCTCCAGGAAGCGCCGATAGTTGTTGGGTGCCTGTGCCACGAAGCCGGCAAAGGGCAGGGGCACCAGAGGCTGCAGGAAGTGTTCTGGGAACTCGACATCCTGCCGGTGGTCCAGCCATGTGTCCTTGGTCATGACCCCGTTGCGGGGGTAGAAGGGCCACAGGTCCACGTGCAGGTGGTTGCTCTCGCTGTACTGCACGCGGAAGAAGTCACCCTCTACGGCCTTCTCCCACACGAAGCCGCGCTCGTCCACCACAGAACCGGCTTCAGCCCCCCGCAGCTGCTCGCAGTTGCCCACGTCCTCCAGGTAGATGCCCAGGTCCACGTCGTAGTCCCACGGGATGATGTCCCCGTGGCGGGCTGCCCCCAGCAGCGAGCCGCCCTCCAGCCAGTAGCGCACGCCCGCGGCCTCCAGCACGCCCACCACGTAGAGGGCGGTCTCGCGCAGCGCGCGCAGGCAGCACGGCGGTGTCCAGCGATCCTCGTAGAGGTAGGCTGGCGTGTCGCCCACCACCGTGCCGAAGCAGCGCGGGGTCTCCTTGCCGCAGCCAAACCACTCCAGCCGGCCGCCCTCCCAGCTCACCAGGCGGATGCCCATGGTGCGGAGCAGTGCCTCGCGCCGTGCGCGCCCCTCACGCTCCGCCTTCCAGCGCGTGTGAGCCGTGGCCAGCGGGGGCTGGCGCGCTGCAGCGAAGGGCAAGTCCAGCAGCTGTACCGCCCAGCCGCGAAGGGCCGTCTGCAGGAAGAGGCTGGTGCTCACTGGCCGGGCCAGGGGCGCCGAGAGGTTGAAGAGGTCGCGGGCGCGCACGAGCACCACGGCGTCCCCATCCAGGGCATCGCAGCGGGGCGCTGCTGGTGCCGGGCCATAGCGGGCGGTCCACTCCCGCAGGCTAACGTTCAGGGCAAGGCACCTGGCAGGGTTGGCTGTGGCGACGGGGGCGGCCACCAGGCGTGCACTTCCGGCCCGGAGCGCCTCCACCATGCGCTCCAGCTGGCCAGGGGCCTCGGCCCGCACCCCGTCAGGCACCAGGGCCACGAACTCGGTGGCCACGTAGGTCTCGGGGCGTGAGGCCGTGGAGGGCCGGTCCAGGGCGGGCTGGAGCAGTGCCAGGCGAACGTTGGGAGTGCGGGGCAGGGCCAGGGGCGGGTAGGGGAGCGTGTCGGCCGCCACCACCACGGGCTGGGCTGGGTCCTGCTGCAGGAAGGAGTCCACCAGCTCAGGTACCGCGTTGTCAAAAGCCTCGAACTCCCGCACCAGGACAGTGACACGGGGGCCGGTGGCAGATGTATGACGGGGGCTCCGGGCCCGGGAGTTTCTGGGCTGGTGCTGCAGCCACGAGACATAGAAGAGAACCAGGAGGTTGAGAATTATGGCGGCTGCCAGGGCAGCCGGTGAGCCGCATGGGGCCAAGGTCAGGCCCTAGCTGGGCCTCTGGCACATCCTGGGGAGGGGAATGAAAGTGCAGGCTGGAGCTGGTTGTCAGAACTGCTTCCCCCTGGCCCCCCAACCCTCAGCCTTGTCCTTCTCCCCCAGCTTCCTCAATTCTTCTTTTCCCTATTTGGTTTCAGTTCTGACTTCCCCCTCCTCTAGGACCCCTCCCAGACTGGGTCATGCATCCCCTCTGGGCTCCTTCAGCCCCCTGGGTTCCCCCCCCCCACCCCAGCCTGACCACTCTAAGTCATCACTGTGCACAGAAGGGTCTGTGCCCCCCACTGGACTGTGAGACCCATGAGGGCAGGACCTGAACCTGTCTTGGTCACTGCTGGGTCCCCAGTGCCATCCAGCACAGAGCCAGGTACACACTAGGTGCTCAGTTTTTTTCAAATGAATTACCTTCCCTTCTTCCTTGTTCAATCCCACCTTTTGCTTATTCTCTGTAAACTTCTCATTCAGATCTGGGTTCAGTTATAAACACCCCAATCCCATTCCTAAATCCCACTTGAACTTTCCTCTCTATCACTGCCTCCTCCAGGAAGCCACTCATGATTCTCTCTCTATTTCCCCCAACACCCTGCCCTGGCTCCAGGGTAGGCTGATGCTGCATCCCCCAATTATTACCCTCAAGCCCCTCCCCTACTGCCTCCTTTTCACTTCCTCAAATCCTGTGCCATCCAGTCACCTTCCTGATGGTTAGGTAGATCATTTTGTTTTTTCAAAAAATGCCAGAAATGTTTAAATTTAAAAAAAAAAAAGAAAAAAATCACCATACTGGCCAGCCACCAAAAAAAAAAAAAAAAAGAAAAAAAATTCAGAAGACTTAATTTTTAAATGGAGTGGTCAAACTCATAGAGACAGAAAACAGAATGGTGGTTGGCAGGGGCTGGGGGGGGAGGGAAAAGAGAGAATTGTTTAATGGATATAGAGTTTCAATTTTGCAAGATGAAAAAGTTCTAGAGTTTGCTTGCACAGCAATGTGAATGTACTTAACACTACTGAACTGTGCACTTAAAAATGGTTAAGATGGTAATTTTATGTTATGTGTATTTTATTACAATTAAAAAATTTTTTATTAAAGTGGAATGAGTCGCATCAAAAAAGGCTGCCAACATTAGGACACAACCCCTCCCCATTCATTGGCCATACTTCCAAGCAAGCCCCAGATGTCCCTATCACAACTTTGAAGATTTGGCTGGTCTCCAAAACAGGAGATGTAGTTCTTTCTGGGTTACAAGCAGGTGCTCAAAAAAAGTTTCCCCATGAAGGACTTCTATGGGTTTCTGCCTCTCCCAGAGACAGGGCGCATTGGAGACCCACCGAATCTTCCTACCTCCTAAATACTTCTGACCCCCCTCCCCTTTTCCACAGCTCCCCCCTCAATCCAGGTCCACCCAGATTCCCACCTCACTTCCCCCTGGTCTCCTGGCCAAGTCTCCTCCTCTTGCTATCCAGAGGGGTCTTCCTAAAGCACAAATCTGACCTTTCCCTCCCCTGCTCAGAATTTGCCATGGCCCCCAGTGTGGGGGGAGAAAATCTAAGTTCCTTACACCATTCTACTCGCCTGCCCACCATTCCAGCCTTGTCTCTTATCATGCCTCCCTTAGACTCTCAAAGTTGCCCTGAGCTTTTTCTCAAACAGGTCTTATTTCTAAGTGATTGTGCATTCTGTTCCTTCTGTCTCTTGAACACCCCTTCTCCTCATACCTCTTCTAGAGAATTCCTACTTATGCTTGAGGCCTCAGCTCAGATGCCTCCAGGAAGCCCTCCTTGAATCCCAGTTGGGTCAGGAGCCTCCTCTAGGCTGCCCCCACCTCAGACTCCAATGCAGTTTGTCACTGTGTAGAGATGGATCTGTCTACCCCACTAGACCATGAGACCTGGGAGAGCACAGCTAGTGCTGTCTCAGTCACTGCTGTGTCCCCAGCATATGGCCAGGTACTGAGAATGCACTCAGTGAAAAAATGATGGCCAGGATTAGGGTTTCCGTGTGTCTATAAAGTCCACACAGGTCCCTGGAGCCAAACTCTGCCCTACTGCAATGTGCCTTGGGCCCTGCCCTTGTCTTCCTGCCTCCTTGTCTCTCTCTCTCTCTTGCAAGGCAAGAATGCTCTCCTATCCCCCTTTCCTCTTTTCCCACTCCAGTCCTACTTGCCCTTCTTTGATCGAGCCTGAATCTGAATTGCGTTTTATGAGTGACTCTAATCTTTAGAAACTTGTAACTGCCTTCTGGACCTCAGATTGATCCTTCTTTCCTTCAATCCTTCAAATTCTATTTGTTGAACTTCTACAACATGCCAGCCACTGTTTTAGGCACCAGGGGGGATACAGCAAAGGACACAGAGTCACAGACAACATCCTAGCCCTCACGGAACTCACATTATTGCAGGGCAGGAAGCTTTAGAACCACAGAATCTTCAGGCTCTTAAAAATCTTAGAGTCTGGGCCGGCCTGTGGCTCACTCGGTAGAGTGCGGTGCTGATAACACCAAGGCCACGGGTTCGGATCCCATATAGGGATGGCCGGTTCGCTCACTGGCTGAGCGTGGTGCTGACAACACCAAGTCGAGGGTTAAGATCCCCTTACCGGTCATCTTTTAAAAAAAAAAAAAAATCTTAGAGTCTTAGGGCCAGCCCGTGGCTCACTTGGGAGAGTGTGGTGCTGATAACACCAAAGCCACAGGTTTGGATCCTATATAGGGATGGCCGGTTAGCTCACTTGGGACAGAGTGGTGCTGACAACACCAAGTCAAGGGTTAAGATCCCCTTACTGGTCATCTTAAAAAAACAAACAAACAAAAAAAACTCAGAGTCTTACAGTTGAGGTACACAGTAGCACAGATGACACCCTTAGTTTTAAAATCTTCAAATCGGGGGATGGCCTGGGGCTCACTCAGGAGAGTGCGGTGCTGATAACACCAAGGCCACGGGTTCGGATCCTATATAGGGATGGCTGGTTTGCTCACTGGCTGAGCGTGGTGCAGACAACACCAAGCCAAGGGTTGAGATCCCCTTACCGGTCATCTTTATATAGAAAAAAATAAATAAATTAAAAATAAATAAATAAATAAAATCTTCAAATCCTGGAAGGTCAGAGTAAGAGACTATCCTCCTGCTACTGCCCTGTCCCCTACAGTATGTTCCCCATTCAGTGCCCAGAGGGATCCTGTTAAAACTCTAATTAGATCCTGTCCTGCCTCTGCTTAAACCTTTCTGTGGGTCACATCTCACTCAAAGGAAAAGCCAATGTCCTCACCATGGTCCACAAGGCCCTACATGGTGTCCTATCCTTTCCTACTTGCTCAGTCAGCTCCAGCCACACTAGCCACCAAACCCCATTCTTCAAACACACCTGGAACATTCCAGCTGCACAAATGCCTGTTATCTCTGTCTGGATGCTCTTCCCCCAGGTATCCGCATGGCTCCGCCCCCATGGCCCTCAGGTCTTTGCTCAAATGTCATTTTCCAGTGAGACCTTCCTTTGGCATCCTATTTAAAAATGCATCTCCCTATCACCCACATACTTCGTATTTCCTGTCCCTACGTTATTTTTCTCCCCTACTAGTTATCACATGGATTTTACTTATCTTGTTTATTGTTGGAGACCTCATCAAAGGCAGAAATCTACTTTGTCTGTTTTGTTCTCTGCTGTATCTCCAGAGCACAGCTCAGTGCCTGGCACATAGTAGGTGCTCAATAAATGTTTGTGGGTTTTTTTTGTTTTTTTTTTAAAGATGACTGGTAAGGGGATCTTAACCCTTGGCTTGGTGTTGTCAGTACCATGCTCTCCGAAGTGAGCTAACCGGCCATCCCTATATAGGGATCTGAACCCGTGGCCTTGGTGTTATCAGCACCACACTCTCCCAAGTGAGCCACAGGCCAGCCCAATAAATATGTATTGAATGAATGAGTGACTTGAATTGTTAAGATGGGGAACATGTGGCTCAGACATGGGAAGAATGCAGGGACCAGAACCCAGGACTTCACCTGCAAGGCCCTGGCTCTTGCCACACTCTGTCTGGCAGACTCGGCCAGGAGATGCCCAGGAGGGCAGAGGACAGACATTGGGTCCTCAGACACCAACAGGTTTGATGGCCAGATAAGGAGGTGCCACCTGCTGGTGAGGGTATGAGGACAATGGAGAAGGAGAAAGGAATCATCTAGGGTCAATCTTGGTTTCATCAAACTGTAAGAGCTACAGACCCCTTCATTGAGGCAAGATGGCTGAAACGATGATTTTGAAGTTCTGAATGTTCTACATTTTTCTGAATCAGGATGATAATATCAACAATTTTAGCAGCTCACAATGTGCCAGGCCCTGTTCTAAGTGCATTACATGTATTTATTTATTTTTTTTCTTTTGGCGGCTGGCCGGTACAGGGACCCGATCCCTTGACCTTGGTGTTATAACACCATGCTTTAACCAACTGAGCTAACCAGCCAGCCCAGCACTTTATACGTTTTCACTCATTTCATCCTCATGTTATGATCACATTTAAAGATTAGGAAACTGAGACACAGAGAGGCAAAGTCACTTGCTCAAGGTCACAGCTGAGATGTGGTACACCCAGGATTTGATCTATAACGCTGGCTTCAGAGTCATGCTTTAAGCCAATAAACTCTGCTGTCTTTCTTGGGTGCACTCAGACAACCCAACTCCCAATCCATCTCTGGTGAGCCTTCCCTACCCCTAACCTGACAGGTGCTTCCAAAGTTCAGTATGGCACATTAATTAATGAATTCAACTCATTAAGTCAACAGATATTTATCTTTATCGAGTGCTCTCTGTGCCAGACCCTGTGTTTTAAGGATACTGGATGAACAAGCTAGTCATTGGGTCTGCCCTCCAGATATGAGACAGACAAAAACCAACTTATAGAAAGGGCAGGAAACCAGCAGGGGGCATGAGAGAAGAAAACAGGGGGCTTGCTTTAGAAAAGGTGGTCAGGGAAGGAGAGGACAGTTAAGCTGAGACCTAATCTGTTTCTCTATTCCCCACAAAAGAATGTAAGTGGATACAGATTCGCTTCAGGCCTGGGTTCTCCCAGCCTGAGTCTCAGTCCTCATTTATGTAGAATGGGCAGAAAAAATTGAGATATGTGGGAAAGCCTTTGGGGATGAGGAAAGGGCAGTTTCCACGTAAGTGCTGGTGACGCTGAGGGACTTCTTACCTTCTAGGTCGCAGGCTGAGGGAGTTCTAGGGAGGCAGGTCCAGCCTAGCTCAGGTGCACTGCTGAGGGAAGGAGAACCAGAAAACCCCAATCAGCACAACAAAACCGGAAATTCCAAATCTGTCCGACAGAGCACAGTTTCACTCTACCTACAAAAGTGACAACTAGAAGGTCAGGGAACACTTTCTTTTGAAGTTCCATAAGCTCGGGCACCACCTGGGGGGGTGGTCTCAGGAGTGGGGTGGGTGGAAGAGATGTAAGCTGTCAAAGCAACCTGTAACCATCCCTCTCTCATGAACATGTCCCGAAAAGGTAGGGCTAGAAGTGACAAAAAGTGTAACCATGACAACCCTTTCCCTAGACACTCCACCCCCACGAGATAATCCTAAAATATTCCCTACCAAGGTGGGCCTGGGTTCTAGGGTCACTAATAGGGGCTGTCCTGTTACCATAGTAACCAGGACTTGATCTTGCCTATTTCTCGCTTCCCTGTAACCATAGCAACTGCCCCTCAGCAGAGCATCTCCTCCTCTAAATAAATATACCTTGTTGGTTTGGTCCATGGACCTCCCACCATGGGAAGGGGAGATGGTTACCATGGTAATGCCAACTGGATGCTATGGGGAAGAGGTGTTTCTCTTAGAGATCAGTGTCCTTGGGGCTGGGGTTCTTGTTACCTGAGTGCTAGGTGAGGTTGCTATAGTAACTGATGATGGTGGGGCGGAAAGACCATCAGGGACTTAGGTTACCTTAGCAACCTCCTCCTGGTGTAAAGATGGCAGAGGTTTGGGGCTCCATAACCACAAAAGTGGAGGGGAGGGCAGACTCGCGGGGCTCCAGGCTGGGGAAGGGTTACCGAATCAGAGAGGATGGGGCCATTGCTGAAACCACCCCTGTCTTTCTTTTTTCAGAGTGTTGAGAAGAGTGGTATTTGGGTCTGGAAGGGTAAGGCTCTTTCTTCGGGACGCAGCGGGAGGAGAGGAGCGCAAAGTCTCGCTCCTGCGAGGACGACCGTCGCGAGCGCCTGGGTCTCCTTTGCTCTCTTCGGGTCGCGCGCCCCCACCCCGCCCCTGTCCTCCTACACGCACGTGCGCGCCTTCAGGGTCGACCTGGGTGGGCGAGGCTGGCGCCGGGCCTGGTGCTCGCCCTCCCCGCCCCCGCCCCCCCCCCCCCCCCCCCCCAGCCGTCCCGGCGGCCATTGTTCCAAGATGGCGGCGGCGGGTGAGGCCGGGCCGGGGGCGGGTTCGGGGGTCCCGGGCGGTGCTCACCTGCAACTCAGCGCGCTCGGCCTCCCAGCGGGCCTTCTCGGCTTCAAAGCGCGCCCACTCGTGCTGGATAAAGTGCAGG